CGCGCGCGCGTGCGTATTAGGTCTCGGGTAGATGGAGAGCCCGTCCCTCCCCTTGTCCCGCCCCCAGCCAGGAGCCACCAGGGTGCCCAGGGATATTCACCCTGGTCCCAGTGGATTTTCTGCTTTCTTGTCCAACTGTCTGGCATCTAGGCCCCCTGTGTCCACCCCTACCCCCACCAGGATGCCCTCTCCTAGGACCCCAGAGACTGTCTCGGGAGACCCAAGTACCCAAGTAGTCAGGTATCCAGACACAAGACTCAGCGTGAAAGTCTCTAGTGAATCCGCCCCAGACATCACCCCACCCTCTAGGATCTCCTAGCACCAGGCCCAGGAAGCAAGCCCCTATGCTCCTGGCTTCAGGAACCAGACAGACACTGGAACACAGTGTGGACCTCCAGCCCTCTCTAAGAGACTCAACCATCCAAACACATTTTTTTCTGGTGCAAAATTATGGGTCTCGCTTCTTCCCTAGGACATTTACCTCAGTGCTTAAACATCAGGAATCCAGCCCCACTCCCACCCCGATATTATTTCCAGACCCAGAAATCCACTATAGCAAGCATCTCTGGGGGAGAATAGTGATTTAATAAATTATGGGATAGAAGAAAAAGATATGTACACGCAGTGGGGTGCAGGGAAATCTCAGATCCCAGAAGACAGATTTGGTTTCTGGAATAAAAAATGGGATGGATCCTGTCTGCCTTTGCACCAGGGGTAGCTAGAGTTCCAGACGCGAATTTCTTCCTTCCCCAGAATCCAGCAGCCTAGGCCTCCAGCCTCCTCCTCCCTCGAAGAACTAGGAAAGCCTAGCTCCCATCCCTCCTCCTCCAAGGGACCAGGAATCCAGGATACCCGCTCCCACCTGCCCTCTGTCCTCCAGGGAAACAGTTTAGACACCAAGGCCTCCCCTCCTCCTGCAAGACTCAGGTGTCTGGGACCCCAGCCCTCTGCTCTCCCAGGGCTCCAGGAATCTGGGCTCAAGTGGAGATCCAGAGTCTGAGTCTCCACTGGGGTCTCAACTCTCTTGTGGCTTAGACATTCTCATACAGCGGGTTCACGTACGAAGCCCCTTTCTCTGCTGGGGCTAGGGGTGACTGCTGGAGACCCCGCAGGATGCACTGGTGCAGGAACACGTACTGGGCCTGGGGAGGAGCACGGGGTAGGGGGTGAGGGGTGCCCTTCTGAGCCTGGGCCTGCTTTCCCCCCAGGCCCCACCCCCACCCCCCTGTGCCCTCGGGAACCCCATCACCTCAGTCTGTAGCATGAGAGGCCTGCTCTCCCTCATCTTCCGCACGTAGCTGAAGGCTCCCACAAAACGCTCACGCTCCAGCTGCCGCAGCAGGACGTCCAGGGCAATGAAGGTGCCTGTGCGGCCCACGCCAGCACTAGGCAGGAACAAGAAGGGGTCAGGTCACAGGAAGGGGGAGTCTTGGCTGATTGGAGGGATCTATTTTTGGAGCATCCGGGATCAGAGTATATTATTCAGCAAGATAGCATTCTGGGGGGATACCGTGTAAGTGGTAAAAGCCACTGTGTGTGACTCTGCCTGGAGCTCCTTCTGTCTGCCTGGCCCTGCCTCCAATGCGCTATGCGCCCTTGTCACTTTTCCCAAGCCTGAGAAGTAGGAGCTAACAGCACACCCATTTTACAGATGGAGAAATGGAGGCCGAGAGCAGTGAGGTCGCTTGTCTGTCCCAGGTCACTCTGGAGCTCACACACGAGAAAAAGGAACTCCCAACCTGACCATTCAAAAATATATTTTTTTTAATTTTTTTTTTCAACGTTTATTTATTTCTGGGACAGAGAGAGACGGAGCATGAACGGGGGAGGGGCAGAGAGAGAGGGAGACACAGAATCGGAAACAGGCTCCAGGCTCTGAGCCATCAGCCCAGAGCCCGACGCGGGGCTCGAACTCACGGACCGCGAGATCGTGACCTGGCTGAAGTCGGACGCTTAACCGACTGCGCCACCCAGGCGCCCCCAAAAATATTTTTTAAACATAAACCCATTTTAAAGTAAACAGTTCAGTGCCATTTAGTACATTCGCGATGGTGTTGTGTGACCACCACATCTAATTAGTTCCCAGACACTTTCGTCCCCCCAGAAGGAGACCCTGTACCCGCTAAGCAGTCGCTCCCCACTCTCCGCTCTCCCCAGCCCCTGGTGACCATCAATCTGGCTCTGTGGGCTTACCTATTCTGGACATCTCCCATAAACGGGATCCTACTACATGTGACCTGTCGTGTGTGGCTCATTTCACTCAGCACCGTGTTATCAAGGTTCTTCCACATGGTGGAATGAACCAGTGCTTCGATCCTTTTTCTGGTTCAAATCAATTGTCTTAACCATTACGCAGGAGTCCCTTTTGTGCTTGGGGGAGGGGATGACCCCCTGCTGGGGACACCTCCAGGGGGTGCTATCCTGGGACAGGGCGGCAGCAAAGAATGTAAGAGTGCCGCCACAGGCATCAGCTTGACCCCTTACGCCTTGAACCCAAGACGTTCACTTTCTGACTGGGTTTCCCCAGCGCTGTAATGGGGAGGAAACCCTTTTGGTCATGAGGTTGCCCTGAGGACCAGCAAGACTGTGACTGTGGAGTTTCCATCACGTCACTGGCGGTACGTGCTCCCTGAATGCGACTGTCACTGTAACCAGAGCCCCCATTTCAGAGGCTGTCGGCCACTCTGGAGCAAGCCCCTTTTC